GAAAATGGCAAACAACATCGCAGCGCTGCTGACATTTATCAGTCTTATTCGTGAGACAAATGAACATTTTCTGGTAATCATTCTGAGCTGCTAATTTAATTATGTTGCGTTGTGCTTTTTTTGCTTTTTTGTGCTTTTTGTTATTTGAGCTAATTGATTTTGATGATGCTTGACATTAATAGGCGTTTCCCCCTGCCAATGATCATTTTTTTGGTGCGGTGCGGCTCCCCATTTCTGTTAAAGTCCATAGTGACGTCCTTAATTGCGGGCGCTCCTGGGACCTGAGGGTGGAAGTGATGGGTGAAAGTGTATGCTTCACTCATGGATGGGAGGAATTTGTTCATGCTAATGGTATAGAATCTGGTGATTATTTGTTGTTCAAGCTGGCCAGTGCCAACAATTTCGTCTTCTTTCACTTTGACGATAGTTATTGCCAAAAGAATCGCTTAATTAGGTGGAATAATGTGCTGGAAATGGCTGGCTGCGTGCCTAGATTGCTGGGCATAGACCGATTCGTGATTTATTTGCTGACCCCCGGTAGCAACACTCTGGTAAACGACTTGTTTAACTATTCTGATATTACTTGATTGTTTATGTTTTTGAATTTGTTTCTACTTCATCAATTTAAAATTATCAACATTCATTTTTTCTAGATTCTCCCGCGTGCAATTCGCCGGGTCATCAAGGATTTTATTCCACTACAATGCACCCTGCAGAATAATGAAAGTGATGATGCCTTCAAATGGACAGTTGTGATTGACCGTGTTGGATCCAACATTGCTCTCGCAGATGGTTGGGCCGATTTTGCCAGAGATAATAATGTGCAGCGAAGTGAGATGATGTGTTTCCAATTGCGAGGTCCAAACACATTCATCGTCTATCATTTTGGCACTGATGGTTGCAGGAAAAAAACCAGAACTGCGGTTGGATCTGGCATGCCTGATGATGAAAGCAGTGATGATAGTGTTGGAAACTAAGTTGTAATGGTTATGAATTTTGTGTTTTATGTGTGATGAAGGTTGAATTTTAGTATGAATGTTATTTTTTTAGTTCTGCTGGTTGATGAATGAATTTTTTTTTTTATTATTTTGTTATGTCATGAAAATTTCTTTTTTTTTATTAATATTTATCTTTTTGTCTATAGATGAATATGATTTTTTGATGCAATGTTAGTTTTA